GTGTGTGTGTCTGTATGTTCGTACTTTTTGTCACCCACTTTCAACTCGAGAACCAGAAAAGCTAGAAGGCTGAAAGTTCGGGAATATGTGTCCATACCATGTGCGACTCTCCCGTTTTAATTTCATCTCCCGCGGATGCCTAGGTGCCGCATGCGGACGTTTTAAAAAAATATGCAGATTTTTTGGTGGGGAAGCGATCTCGGGAACTACATGAGCTAAGGGACTGAAACACTGTAGGGACATTTCCTGTGCATGTGCTAGCTAAAGATTTGAAATCCAGCCCCCAGATATGCGTGGTGCTCACTAAGGGCGTATGGAAGTTTTAACAATAAAATTGCTAACTCGGGAACCAGAAAAGCTAGAAAGCTGAAATTTTGGGGGAATGTTCCATGTCCAAGTACAACCCAAATATTTCAAATTCAGTTCCACATAAGCGCGTAAGAAATTTTCTGCGGGGAAAATGCTGCTGGAATTTTAAGGGGATATTTCTTGTCCACGTGCAATTTAAAAATTTCAAATTCAGCTTTCCAGGCACGTGGCGTACCCACGTAAGGGCAAGTGAAAGTTTTGGCATGAAAATTGCTAACTTGGGAAACAGAAAAGCTAGAAAGCTGAAATTTTAGGGCAAGTACAACTTAAGTATTTCAAATTCAACCTTGAGGTATGTGTGTTTCTTACTTACGGGCACTTAAAATTTTGGCTGAATTTCTGACTGAACAGCTAGGTTACTTTTAAAGAACGATTTTTAAATGGAAATTGTACGTTTACTTTATGCAAAATTTATGGTGATTTATGCTAGTGACCGCAAAAGGTAGGCGTAAAGCAACAATCATTTATGCAGTTAATTACCTGAATACTTCAAATCCGATGCAAAAACCCACGATCGCACGGGCCCATCCGGTATGTTCCAGCCTGAATATGTTTCCGCTTTTTTCTTATTTTCGGCATTTCCAAACTGCGGCTTCTGGAACTCTACCATCAGAACAAGTGGACTTGTATTATGAGTGGACGAACATTGCGCACTTCTCCAGAAAACATTTACAACAGCTTTTCACATACATACGTGCAACACATGTCGCACCAGCCAAGAAAGATGTGTAAAAAATTGTCGAAATTCTCATTTCAGTGCTCACTTTGCGTCAGAAGTCTTTGTCCAAGCGCAAGCTGCGGACATTTGCAGTATTTCACCATAAATCGATTCCGAGGAGGAAGACTACGTGGCCATGGAGCAGCAAGTGCTGATGTCATGGCGAACTGGCCTAAGGCCAATTTGAGGCCCCTGCAGAGTGTCGTGCTGTTAGCAGCATTTATTAAGCTTCCTTATTTTGGAGAAAAAACTGCTTTATTGGGGCAGACGCTGTCTGCTTATAAGCCCAGTTTCTATACTTCGTCACAAGAATGAACACTAACTGCGGCTGTTTGTGGCGTTTGCGAGACGCACTGAACTGCCGCATCCTTCGGCCGTAACGGCGCTTTCTCAATCTTCCCTGCATTTTAGCATACATCAAATTCGACTACTTTTTAACAAGCTGATTCCACAACTGTTTTTTTTTTAGTTGAAGCAGTAGTGCGCGTAACAAAATTTTGTCCTTCCCACATTTTTCCAAACTGACTGACTGCTTCCTTTTTGCTTTTTTTCTCCGAAAAAAAGGCATTGGTGTCCAAACAGTACCGAACCTGACCCCGACCTGCACCAAAACAGATAAGATCATGAACAGTATTGCCCAGTGGTTTTTAACAAAAGACACCCGTCCTGCGCTTCTTCATCAACATCTTCCTGTTCTCATTCCCATGTGGTTGCGTCACAAATGGCTATTATCCATATCCTTTCCTTCTCCAGCATGCTTCCAGAGGACCTTCGTTCTTTAATCCGAAAAATCAGTCTCAGGATTTCATAAAGAATGTTGCAGGGGGATGATGCTTCTTTTGCAATTTGTAATTAGTTTCAGCTTCGCTTCCAGTGAGTCAATTCGATTCGATCGATTCCGTCATCGTCGCAGAATTAACAAGTACGTGAATTTCAGTCTTCTAGAAAATGCTGTTACTTCTGTGCTGGAAAACCGTCCATTCATATAACGTGTTTTTGACAGAACCGCGCTTCAGTCCATTGTATTTTTTGAATTAATGTCGGCATGCACCCGATGGAAGCTAGGACATTTTTTTACAATTTAACCTAGAAGCAGTCTTCTACGAAAGGCAGTTACACTGTGTCATCTGCTAATCTTGTACCCCGCATATAGTTGTAAGCTATGGCATACTTCGTTCTCAAATTATAAATCACCCTATACAACAGTTATACGGTGTTCACAGAATCACAGTTCGGAGCACAGCGCCGGTTTGAGAGGCACATCCAGAATTTGACAACTCGCTACAAGTGGCGCACACTCGGCAGCGCCGAATTTAGAGCCTGAAACTGAGTTTTGCATGTTACGAAATCAAGCTTTGCGGGTAACTTGCGAATCCACTGCATGAAATGAAGAAATCGGTTGTAGAAGTTGTGTGGTAGATCCGTACGCATGCGAAGCCATCGATACTGGCTAAGGGAAACACACAGTGATATCCTGGCCAGAGTGCGAGCGCTCTGACCACATTCGGCCACGAATAATTTCGCGCAAGTTTGTCACCCACTGTAACTATTCCTTTCTTAACTTTCATGCAGAGCTCATGTATAGTGCAGCCGGCGTCTCAAATTTTTCGCTTCGATTCTGTAAATGACCTATGAGTTTAGGCTATCCAGTAAACTTGGCAATATCCAGTCTGAGTGAACTGCTCATTTTGCTTTGTTTTATTTGTTTCCCAATTCAGTGACTTATTTTGTCGACAACTAAGTATTACTTTTCGAGCACTTC